GGCCGTTTTCCCCCCCGCTCTCCCACCTATTCCCTATTTGTGCTCCTACAAAGCCTCCGGGCAAGCTCGCCGTTACCGGGAGCAGGGTCTTCGTTCGTCGGTCATTAAGGAGAGGGCTGGAGGTTGGTCTGGGCGCGTCCCTCGGGCTGCCTGCTCTCCTTCTGGGTGCTTGGCTTTCCGTCGCGGGGGGCTGGAGCCGGTGGAGGGGACCCCCCCGGGACCCCCCCAGGAGCCCCGGGCCCCCTGCGTGCGGAGGGACGGAGTGCCAAGCCCTGGGGGGGGGCTTGTACTGGGCAGCTGTGGGGAAGGACTGGGGATACTGGGGTGGTTTGGAGGTGCTGGGCTGGGCTGAAGACACTGGAGTGGGCTGGGGGCACTGGGATGGACTGGGGGCACCGGACTGGGGGCTCTGAGCTGGACTGGAGGTACTGGCCTGGGGGTGCTGGGCTGGACTGGGGGCTCTGAGCTCAATTTGGGGTTGCTGGACTGGGGGCACTGGGCTGGACTGGGAGCACTGAGCTGGGCTGGGGCTGCTGGTATTGAGCTGAATTTGAGGTGCTGGGCTGGACTGGGGGCACTGGGCTGGACTGGGGGCACCGGGCCGGGAGCACCGCCCAGCGTGTTGTGAGGTCACATCGTTCTGGGGCGCGGGGGGCTTTGGGGACCCCGCGGGGCGGCCCCCCCGGCCGGCCCCCTGCCTGCAGCCCTCCCTGGGGGCAAAGTGCAGCGGGGGGCTGCCCCGGCCGGGGAGGGAAAGCGGCCTCCTCCCGGCCCGCCACACCGCACCGCACCGCCGGCCGCCTTGGCATCGCCGTGGCCTCGCTCCCCCTCCCGTTCCTGGATGTGACCGCTGCTGTTCCCGCCCCGGCTGAGACCGGCTGAACTCGCTGCATGCCAGGCACTGTGTGGGGTGAGCAGGGGCCAGCCGGGGGGGGAACTTGGGGGGGTTTTGGGGTGACCGGGCGCTCCCGCGGCGTTTGGGCTGGGCTGGCGTCGGGAATGAGGAAGGGTTTGGTGCTGGGAGGGTTTTGGTGGGGTGGGACGAGGGTCACCCGTGCCTCGGTTTCCCCACGTGGGTGCAGCAGCCCCATGGGGCGCAGGTGTTTCCCACGGGGGGACGCGCGAAGGGACCCCGGGGGACGCCGGGGACCACGCCAGCCCCCGCGGGTGCCCCGCCGCCCAACCACCGCCCAACCGCCGCTGCTTTGGGCCGCTTCCAGGTGTTATTCCTCCTTTCCGTGCAAGCACGGGGAGGAGCCTGGGACACGGGGGGACATTTTTAGGGTGAAGCAGGGCGACTGCCCCATGCCCCCACGTCCCCCCCGGGCTGGGGTCTGGGCCTGGGCAGGGCTGGGGCCCCGGGGGCCGTACCTGGCCCCGCTGTGCCGCGTTTGCCCTCAGCGTTGGGGCAGGACAGACGCCGTCTGTTTTTCTCCTCCAGTTTCCTGTGGTTCCCTCCCCCCCCCCCCCCAAAAAAACCCCAAACCCCCCCCCCCACACCCCCC